CTGAATCAAGAGAAGAAATTTTTGGTATGGAATTTAATTGTCTGCGCATATCCATCTGTACTGTTATTCAGCCTTTGATCCATTAAATATTCATACTTTTTCTTTGTTCTTTGATGAATTCAGAGTTCAAGTTGATGTTGAATAAGATCTTCATATGACCTTAGAATTAATGTCTCATATTTTGATTGTAGACATGCTTATTATATGTTTATTATTTTTTGAAAGGGCTATTTTATTTTATTTTTTTCTTAATTAGTTTATTTAGTAAAGGATGATTAAATATCTCACATAAGAGGAATAAAGTATTATGTATCAACGGAATCAGATTACATAGTTTATTGAATGCAAACATTAAATCTTTTGATTTTTTGCTTTAACGTTACTCAGATATGTAAAGCTGAATTTATTGACATTGCCACATAAAGAATTAAACATTTCACATGTCCTTTATTTTGTTCAGTGGCTGTATAGTAAAGATTCCTTACCAATAAAAAGAGGAAGAGATATAGATATATATAGTTTTTTATATGTGGGATTATTATTATATATGTGATACTGTTATTTACAACAGTAAGAAATTCAGGGTAGTTTTATCCTCAATATTTTATAATGACATTTACTGACTACTTGCAATTCCTTTTTACAAAATGTCAGTAGGAGTCAGTATATTTCCTGACCATTTCAATGTTATACGTGATTTGAACTATTCTTTAAACAATAATTCTCATGTTTCTTTTCCAAAATATTTGCTCAGATTTTGTTACAGGTCTGTTCCGTAATCTTACTTATGGTAGTTACGTATGGTAACGTATATTCAAAGTGTTTTAGAAAACTGTTAAGTATTTGATAGAGAAAATATCATCCACTATTTCATATATTTCTTTGTTGTACATACATCTCTTTGTCTCAGTGTCATCATATTTTGATTCTTTGACTACAGTTTTTGGGTCATGTCTCTATCTCAATCATTGGCTTCAAGAAATTATTAAGCTGTAGAGAATCCTGAGATCCTAGGATTTTAAAGGGTTGTACTATCTCCCTTTCAAAAGCAATAGATTGGGAAGCAACTATAGATATATGTATAGAGTACAAAGGGTAAGATATTGAGGATAGCAACCATATTATCTGTGACCTTCAGTCTGATAACATCTTTGTCCAACCTCATCCCTTGCCATAGATTTGTAAGCTATCAGTGGAGTGTTCTGTGTCTGAATATGGCCACAGCATCTTCTTGTGACCTGTGATTTTAATTTGTAGGTAGGTATTGATTAGGACTTCATTTCACTGAGGAGAGCTAACAAAACGATACTTTTCAGTGTTAGCCATCTTATACTTTTAAGAAAAAAAAAGGCTAAGAGTGTTTCACTTATTTATGAGAACTGTAGAATTCAAGTTGGGACTTCAGTACAGGAACTGCAAAGGAGACTGGCAAATGTCAGTAGTTATAGATTTAAAGATGTGAAAAATGAAACTTTAAGTACACTGTTTTTATCATGGAATAAAAGATAACTACATGCATGCTTCTTGCCTGGCTTCTTATGTAGTTATAGTTTCATGTGCTGTTTGCATTTTTTTAAGGAAAATGGCTTGTCAGCTAACTTAGGTCATAGTAGTTTTGTGTTGCAAATTCATGAACATGAAAAGGAAAAGATAAAGTCAAGAATGTGGTAAGTTAATAATTTATCTTTACTGTAAGACTTTGTGCAAGCTAATGATTTGCCTTAATATCTTCCAAAGGAAAATATTTTGGAATGAGGTGCTTTGAAAAGTACTTTTGTCATTTCACTTTTGTGATAAGGAAAGGCCACAAAATTTTGAATATACAGTAAAATGAACTTCAAAAGTAAAGATATAGTTTGCAAATCTCTCTGATTTAAAGGTCATTTTTTTTTATACTTTATTTATGGTTACTTGCACAAACTACAAAGACAGAAATGTGCAATGGAAGGTGAAAATATAAATGATTTTCTGTTAACAAAGTTGTAAATTGAGGGAATTGAAGTATAAGTTTGGAAAGTCACAGAATCACTAGAAGCCGATTTTTGGGAGATGTCTTGTGAAAAAAATATAGAGACAATATCAGGGTAAGAAGTCATGTGTTGATTTAAGGTAGGCTTAATATATTTTCATTCCTAGTCGTAGCAGCTGATATCATGACCATTATTTATTTGTTTTCAATAATAATAATGAACAGCTAGACTAGTCTAAAAATGTGGGATGATTATAGAAACACTTGAAAGTGGCATGAGAGGCCTAAACTAGGGGTGACTGTAATAATATTTTCATCTTTTTTTTATCTTGGAATTCATTGTGCACTGTACTGTATTTCTGTCTCTGTCTCTCGTTTAGAATATTTCAGTATTGCAACTAACCTCATATTGTCATTCACAGGGTCATGATAGACAAATTTTATCCTGGGACATTTTGATAATTTGTAAGTAGTATTTCTTCTTACAGTATAAGAAATAGGATTAAAAATATTTTTATATTTTGCAAGTATTAACCCTTTTGCTTTTCATAATGTCTACTGGTACTACAATCTTGTTCTTGTTCTCAGGGTCATGGTAGAAGAGACAGAAAAGAAAAAGGGGAGTAGAAGAGAGCCCGAGTTCAAGACCAATGCTTTCCGCTGGGGACATGGCAGCAAGTACTGGGACAACGTCAAGGTGCACCCAGAATCAGGTTGCAGAATGACAGACACCAACACCCTGCATGAAGAAAACAACCCCTGCATAAAGGAGTACAACCTCTCCATGAAATGTTTGTATGAGAGGGTCATGGACAGGGAGTCCTGTGGGCTATATTTCGATAACTACAGGATATGCAAGACGTTCTGGACGCGCGTCATTAGGGATAGGAGGAGAAAGGGGATATTACCCATAGTGCCACCTGTGAGCGAGAGGGAGAAGGTCAAAAAGGAATATTTAGGGACGAAAGGTTTCGAGTTGTAGAGGGAAATTTTATTTCTTTTTTTCTAGTATGCTACCAATGGCAAAACAGATCACATTCAATGGTCTTTCATATCCTACTGAGGTAGGGTATATTTGTAATGGGAAAGAGAATAAAAGGTTTCCTCTTAGTTTTGCTAACATGGGAATTTATTAGGAATGTTCTTATGCATAGGTTGTATAGGAAATAAAACTTTGTTTGTGATATATCAAATAAATCTTTATTTGTGATATATTTTTATGACTTTAATATAACCTTCAATAATTAAGAGTACAGCAAAAGTGTAGTGTATAGGGTGGATGTAAACTAATTGAAGAGGTCAGATACCTTTATTTTATGATGAACAGCATTACAACAATTACTTTTCTCACATTTATCTAAATAAATAAACAATTCCAAAGTTTAGAGCCAACAGTATTTTAACCATAAATCTTACTTACCATATCTGAAAATGCTGTGTAACAAAAATGAAGAAAAAAGTTATCTGTTACAAATTCATACTATTTTTATTCACAATTGATTCAAATTATACTTTATTAACAGTAAATTATTAGTGATATTGTGCATTTCAGTCTGACTCATTGAACTGAAGATATTTGTCATAAAAAATCCATTTATATATAAAAGTTTTCTTTCAAAATCTGACATGATTCTTGCCTTCTTAAAAATAATCTTTAGCATTGTAGTTTCTGAACATAGAATATGCATAAAAATTCTGATATTAAAATAAAACATATGCATTACACACACTCTGACCAGTTATCAGCACCAGAATTCAGACTGGTGTACTGAAGCAATTTCATAATTTGTACACATTATAAACCTTTATAAGCAAAAGGCAGATCCACATGAAATCTAAATGCAGATATAAAACAATCTATAACCATTTCAGACTGATGTGCTGAATTGGACACAGGCCAAGGGAACTAAACTGAAATGAAGTCTGAATTCACAAAGTTTCAATGTCGTTTACTACTGAAATAAATCCTTGTGCAAGACTTCACTTCAGGGACTGTATTGTCTTCAGAATGAGTGCCTGCTCACAGAATATAACCAAAATGTGTTATGAATCACACTAACCACATGAAATATCCCTGTAAGTACAATGTATGGATGTTTAGGATAGGATGGATAAGGCTAATATTCACTACTCAGCATTTATGGATGCACTTGGTTTTACAATTAAAAAAAGAATGTTTTTTATTTTCAAGTGTATACTGATGCTATGTAGAATGTTATTTATCCTGGCCTCGTGAAAATTATTCATATTTGCTTACAAGGTTTTGCACATAATATATTTCAACAACCTTTACACAAACAAATAACTTTGACAATAAAAAATAGGAACTTGGGATTTAAAACACCTTAATTCAGGTATTCTGAATGCTCTATTTTTTTTTGTTTGTCTGCTATGGATCTGCCTCATAAACATAAAACATCCAAATAATAAACAATATATAAAAAAGCCAAATTCATTCATTCATGAATATAAGATTGAAGACAATTTCTGAACCGTCACCAAAAGAATCTTTGGTTAATAAGCATGAAATAATGTAAAAATGTAAAATCTTTTTGACACTTGTAATTGGGATTATAACATACTCTAATTATGAATTCATACATATCAAAAGAATATATGAATAAAGTATAATAAATCCAGTTCAGAAAAATTTTATGATACTGTTATGTATGATCCCATTACATCAAAGGAACATTAGACAATAAATATTACTCTATATGTAAGGCAAGGAAATTTTGTTCATTTTAGTACTTTTAGTCATAACCTGAAGTAAAATCATACAGTTTAAGAATTGCCTGTCTATTGGAACAGAATTTAAAAAACAACCTGAGACAATTTTTTTTTTGCCTAACAAAAAGAAAGAAAATAAGGAGATTATGGTAACAACTTTCTAACATTCTCTTATACAAACCTTACTCAACTTTGAAAAAGAAATATGAAATAGAAGAGTAGAACAATTAATACAAGCTCCCTTTTGTACATGTGAGCAAAATCAGAGTATACAATTTGTGGAAGTGACACCATATAATGAATATAATGACATTGATAATATCCTGCTGTGAATATGAATGTCTTACAGTGAATGCAAAATCATCATACTTCAAAGAAAACATACTATGCAGTAACCATAAATCTATATTCATTTTCTTAATATGCAAGAAAGAGAAATATAATGCATACACAAGTTATACCATATATTGAACACAAAGCCTTCTATGAGATCATATACCGAACAAAGTGATATAATATGATATCACAGTGTATGCTGACAAACATTATTATACAGTGAACACAAATTTATTGTATGATATTACAGTGAACACAAAGTGGGGCGAATGAGTATTGTGGACACAAAACCACATTTCAGATACTTCTGATTAGAGTCACAATGTAAGGGATTGCAAGAAATTTCAATATAACACTTGACAGAAAAGAAACTGATAGAGATAGGTAATTCTTATTCATTCATGATTTTTAATTCAAGTAAGAATATAATCATTATTAGATCACTTGGTTGTTTGCAGAAAAAATATCCAGATTGAATATATATTTGTCTCCAACTTCATATCATTAACCTCCAAGGTATATGCTATATTACATGATAATAATGTGGGCACAACTTACAACAACTTTACAACAAACATTGGCTAGTGTGGGTTAAAATCATGATTACTAAATTTTCACATTTAGACAAAACTGTCTATGCCGCAGGAAATTAGAGAAGTGTAAGTAATTTAATGCCTTTCCCTAAAGTATAACAATATGTACACTTATTAATGTTGTCTATACTGAGAAAAAAACAGTTAAATATCTAATGCACTGAGACATATACAATGACTTATTTTCATCAAAAGAAGAAATAAAGCCAAAGTAAAATATCTCAAGTACATATTAGTTCATTAAATATTTTGTATGCCAAATTCTTTTTATTGCCTTTGCTCTGTGCAATAAATTCAACAGTAATGATTTTAAGACCAATGCATTTGACCATTACGATAAAAAACAACTGCAGCCTGTGCCTCTTCCTATAATTTACATCAACTACAAACTTATTGTACAATATCCTAAACATTCCCATATTAATATTTATTATGTAGACAGATCAGTAACAACATTTAAATGCAATAAAAATGCACCAAGGTCAGCTACTACCTACCTTTGATGTAGTTACTTACATTATCAACAGACTAGATTCATTCCAGCTATATATAATCATATACCTTCACCATAAACATAAAAAGCTAATACCAAAATATAAATTTTATTTCAGATACACTATGAAATCATCTCAAAAGTAACATTTACAATATGAAGAGTGTCATGCAGTAGTATCATTTAGTAAAGCTTTGATATTACCTTTGTTGGCATTGCATGTTAACTTCTTGATATGGCTGATTCAAGAGTATTAACTGTCTAAGATATGTGCCGTTTTGAACTTTAACATAAGCAAAACGGCTTTCGAATCATTCACATTATCTTTTTTATGTTTAAATAAGCACATCAGATCTATCTATCTAGAAGGCGAGAAAGCAGTTTCTAAGAGACAGCAGGAGGCTTCAAGCATGTTTAATCCCGTAGCCAATTCTTGCGATGGCTTGGTGGGGCCTCTGGGGACGCCGCCTCAGGGGCCTCCGACGTCGGAAGGCAGGTCCTCCTCCTGCTCCTCCGGCACCCACTCCTGCTGCTCGTCCCCCGGCCCTCTTGTAGCCGAATCTCGACAGCTTGCCGCGACGAGGGGGGAGGCTGTCGTTCTCGGCGTTGATCCTGTTGTCGTGGTCGTTGTTCTCCTGGTCGCTGTTGTTGTTGTAGATGACCGTGCTGTTAGCGCCGTCGGGTCTGTTGCCGCGGGCCTTCATACACGTGCGATAGAGTCGTCCTCCGAGCCAGCCGCAGGTGCCGTCGGGTCCTCGGAGGCACACCTGTCAGGAATGATTGGAGAGGCATTTAGTGAGGAAGGGATCTTTGTCTTTTACTCTGTCAGAATAGGTTGAAACAATACTTAGCTTCTGATAATGAGTATTTTCTGTTCTTAGACACATTTGTAGGACAGATCTTTATTTTAACTCTATATCTTTCATAATTTAAATAGTTCTTACTTAATTACAATTTGAGTCAGTTTTTCAGAGCTTCTAAGTACACTCTATAACTCAATTATTGTGATAACAAAACCTCTCTCCTTTACAGAATCGAAATACTCACAGCATGCCGTCCTTGGCAGTCATCCATCTCGGTTGACGTTTCCCATGCACAGAAGAAACTGGCTTTGGGACACGACTGCCAAAAGTGACAGGACATGATCTGAAAAACAAGTGTCATTTAGAGAGTAAACACGACAACAAAAGGTCTTCAACCCTACGAGCCGTCCTTTCAATGACTTTCTGCATGACCAACAAATGAAATTAGACATTATTAAAAGAATTAATACCGCAAACCCATTGAAAGATATCAATTTTGATGTTCGTCGGTGCTTACATATAGAATATTGCAACAAGTACAGAAAAAAGTGAATGAATGAGAATGAACAATTTCACGGTGCGACAGATGTTTCCACATTACTTCTTCAGAAATACGCACTTGTGAAAAACTGACATCGTTACGTTATACATCTTTTATTGTGGAATTATCTGTGGAATCATCCCTTCCCTTCCATACTATTTCTTTCTGCCATACACACATAGCCTTTTCCTCTAACCAAGGGAAAAACACAAGCAAGGAAAACCACACATACCGGACAATCGCAGCCGCTTTGGTACAGGAGTCGGAACCCTTTCTTCATCTTGGGCGAGAGGGACTTTCCAAGGCTTTACGAAATGGCAAGATGTTGTCCACGCTTGCTGGCTTCCACGTTGCCGGTGATCACGTAGGAGGTGCGCGACTCCAGCTCCGATTCGCACGTCCCGAGGAATCGTGTGAGTCGAGTCCCGTTGCAGGATCAGCTGTACCTTTTCCGATGCCTGGGACAAGACGGGAAAAATAAAAATCTTCACAATAATAGTAATCATGGAAAATAGCAATGATACACTTTCGAATTAGTTTTGTAGCTCTAAACATTACTTTTAACTTGGTTTTTGTAAAAATAAATGTATGTATCGTGAGCCCTTGCGTCTACTTTCCATTTTTTGTGTGGAAAAATAACTTAAAAAATGATTGAACTATAACACAAAGGCACATTTACCAAATGAATAAAGGTTTGGTATTGTAGATTTTTCGTAGATATTTCAGCTCGCAAAGAAACGGATACATTTATCAATAATCCCCTTTATGGCTGTATTAACTTATACGCTTCTTGTCTGAGAGAGAGAGTAAGAGTAAGAGTGGCAGTGAGTGAGTGAGTGAGTGAGTGAGTGAGTGAGTGAGTGAGTGAGTGAGAGTGAGTGAGTGAGTGAGTGAGAAAGGGAGGGAGGGAGGGAGGGAGGGAGGGAGGGAGGGAGGGAGGGAGGAGAGAGAGAGAGAGAGAAGAGAGAAGAGAGAGAGAGAGAGAGAGAGAGAGAGAGAGAGAGAGAGAGAGAGAGAGGAGAGAGAGAGAGGAGAGAGAGAGAGAGAGAGAGAGAGAGAGAGAGGGGGGGGGGGGGTAAAAGAGTGAGTCGTATTCATCTGAACCTACAGTGTGAAATTATATATTCTTATTTATGCACCATCAACATTTGTAAAAATAAACTTTTAAGTTCGTGTTACTGGGTCATATACTGGCTATCCAAAGATTATATGTTTTTATGAATAGTACCTACAGTTCTGGTTACTAAACTTGATGCAACGTATCATATGTAGTTCATGTTAAAATAGCAGTGGGGCATACACTGGCTTTCCAAGTCATATCTGTTCTTTTATGAATAGTACCTACTATTCTGGTTACTAATTTGATGCAACGTATCACCTATTAACAGTTCATGTTAAAATAGCACACTGAAGATTTAATTTAATTTCACAACTAAGGGGGCTTAACAGTTCATGTCTGTGAAGAAAGGCAGATGTCAGAAAATGGTAGAACTATACTTGCGACGTCACTAAAAAAATCGCTGTGAATAAGAAAGATGTCATAACCGTTTTAGTTAGATGTTACAACAACATATTAGGGATGAAACCGTTGTGGTATGCTAGTTATGCAGTAGTAATTCATGGGAATACTGAGTGTTGAACATAATGCTGGTATGCTAGCCTGTGTATAGCAGGGTACGCCACACAGCACCATATAATGTCACACAATAGCTTGTGTTAACTGGCTGACACTGTGGCCCATTTTATTTTAGTATGATTGATGCCGGGAGTTCCTGTACCGCTTCTTGTTTACTGAGCTATGCTTGCGCTCGTAAATTATCACCCTTTGACATATACAGGACTCACAGACATTAATGGGACTGGGAAGGAAGATAAAGGAGACGATGAAGACGATGATGATAAAGAAGAGGAAGAAGAAGAAGAAGAAGAAGAGGAAGAAGAAAACAATAACATATGTACCCACCTTCAGCAATCTCTTGATTCGCACTTTATATGCGTGAGACCGTCTAGTGTTTCTGTGCCCTCCTCACTCGAGCCAATCACCCACTGTAAAGAACAGAAGAAATAGCCTGTGATAAATGCTTCATATGCAGAAAGATTGTCGATGGAGACTAATGTTATTAAACAGAAAACATCATCTCTGTTGCAAATTTAAGCTGTCACATTCAATTATTCTGACATGGTGCATTTTTTTTTCTGTTCGACCCTCTCACTGCAATGCATTCTCTCTCTCTCCCTCGCATCCTCCCCCTCTCTCTCTTTGCGTATCTGTCTCTGTCTCTGTTTCTGTCTGTCTGTCTGTCTCTCACACACACAAGCACACTTAACACTCCACAACACACTTACACACGCCATATATACATATATATAGTATATATATATATATATATATATATATATATATAATATATATATATATATATATATTCTCCCCCCCCCCCTTCGTCAAAAGCAAAGGTCTCGAGGAAACAAGACTCCAACTCATGCTCAAACTGCAACCTTGCCCCCCCCTCCCCCAGCAGCGCCCGCCCTAATCTCCCGTGATCGTTTAAGACGCCCTGGCCTAAGTTAGCTGTCGCCGCGAGTAGCCCCGACGACAGCCGAGCCCCAACAGCGCGGCAGAAAAAGGGCATCGCTCCCGTCTTCAAGGGCAGCGGCGTGGCGGTCTCTGGTACCAGCCCGAGCCGACGCTGACCAGACCCGTTCCTGCTGTCGGCGCGCTTATGCCGGGACGCGAAATGGATGGGCCTTTTCGAGGGACACTGATATCATCTCCCGACGCCGTGTATTCTGTCCCTCCGCCTCGGACGCCCAATAAGGGAGGGAGAAGGATGCACAGGGGTCCTTCGGCCAGTTAGGGGGTCGGGCAGGGGGCTGCTTCGTGTCTCAAAGTACGGTCTGTTTCCGCTGTGAGTCATGGGGGATCGATGCTGTTTTCTTTTTTTCAATGCAGCAACCCTAACTTCATTTATTTTAGCTTCGTTTCGTTTGTTGTTTAGTCTGCGTGTCTTGGAAAATAAAACATCGCTTGCGGGATTTTGTATCAACAAATCCATCGGTATCCGAGTTCACAGCACATACTTAAACTCGTAGCAACCTATCTTTCGAAATCAAATACAGTAAGAAAGTTTCTAAGTGAATAAATAAAGCAAACTCATTTGCATGCATAAATATTCAGCATAGACGAAGTCCATATGCCGCCGATCTGTTCATGTTACAACCGCCTGTTAAATTTATTGACCCATCAAGTCACTGATGAATTTCTGTCCCTTCGTCTGAATGTTAATTGGACATGGATATGTAAGGCTAATTTGCAAGTCGTCCCTACCTTTGTCAAATTATCCTCCTGATCAACCATGCGTCATGCAATCAGAACTGAGGCAAGTGTTGCATAATCAATCAACTTATCCATCCATTGACTTGGGTATTCTTTCGAATCTCGCGCGGACACACACACACACACACACACACACACACACACACACACACACACACACACACACACACACACACACACACACACGCACGCACACACACGCACACACACACGCACACATGACACACACACGCACGCATTAAAAAAACAAGCCTCTTATCGATTTATTAATAAAACAAGTGAGCTGCATCAACCTCTCTGCAAACGCACTGTTTTCTTTCAATCAGTCTGATAATAAGAGTCAACAGAAGCAATCTGAAACGAAGCATTTTAATTCTCGGGATGTGTACACGTCTACACAAGGGGGCGGGGCTTCCCACAGCGACGCGGGCCGGGCGAGAGGGACGCGGGAGCGAGAGAGTCGGTTCCCGCGCGCGTCCGGGGACAATACAGCAATCAGTCGTAGAATTCCTCGAGCAGATCATCACGTTATCCTCATTATCCTCACTTATCCTGTCCTCGGAGCCGCTTCTTAAGTGCGGATGCCGCGCGTCAAGTTCCCCATTGGCCGGGAGTGGCAGATCATCCATCATCGGCCCACAAGACCTGCTGGGACGCCCGCCTCAAAGCGCCGCATAAGGCCCGGGGGTTCGCCGCGCTTCCTGGGCCCGGCTCTGTCGTAGTAGGCCCACCCCCGCTCGCGCCCGGGCTCTCGTCGGGCGTTTGTCTGTCTGTGTCTGTCGGTTTGTCTGTGGGTTTGTGTTTGTTAGTCCGTTTGTCTGTCTGCTTGTTTGCCCGTTTGTCAGTCTGTGTCTGTCCGTTTGTCTGTCTGTTTCTGTCTGTCTGTGGGTTTGTGTTTCTGTTTTTTTTCGTTTGTCTGTCTGCTTGTTTGTCCGTTTGTCAGTCTGTATCTTTCCGCTTGTCTGTAAGTTTGTCTCTCCGTTTGTGTATCCATTTGTCATTTGTCTGTCTGCTTGTCTGTATGTTCGAAATTCGTCTTGCGCTGCATGGACTATTGTTCTGAATTGCCGATTTGATGCAATTTGCTAATCTAATTGAGAATTCCGTGCGCGACTACATCATCTGAGGCATGCAGAGATAACAATTAATCTTAGATTACTTAGTATATTTGTATATAAAGAATGGTTTCTGTTATTCGAAGACTACTATTAAGAATAAGTTACCAGACTACTTCGAAGTCTGTATTGACGAGTCATTATATATATATATATATATATATATATATCTATTATATCTTTCTCCATTCTCTCTTCTCTCCTCTCTCTCTCTTCTCTCTCTCTCTCTCTCCTCTCTCTCTTCTCTCTCTCTCTCTCTCTCTCTCTCTTTCTACACACACACATTAAACATATATGTATGTATGTATGTGTGTATGTATAATGTATGAATGTTTGTATATATATGTAATACACACACACACACACACACAATATGTGTGTGTGTGTTTATATCTATATACATTCATACATATATATACATTATATATATATGTACATTATGAAAGATGGAAACAATACTACCGCTTACGATCGATCCCGAACAGAGAGATTATATATTCATATGTATATATACACATATACATATATATTTATAAATATATATACATATATATACATACTATTGTTGTATACATACTATATA